TGTAGTCCACTTTGGTGATTTTTTAAGCCAGTCTCATGGCTCTAAGACCACGTCGTCAACATCGAGTCACGGTTGCCCCTTCTCCCGATTGTAGAGCAGTGTATTAAATCCTTTCCAACATTTTCATACAAATTATCATTTACTTTTTACCAGTCCAAAGTCATTCATCTTCCTTGTGGCTCTGACGAAAATCTTCTTGCGGTTGGGTGGCAGAACCATTAACAACATATGCTTCTCAAAATCAGTGGTATTCACACACACACACACACACACACACATATTATGCAAATTTTCATTTATGTTAAATGAATCAAAACTCTGCCACTAAGGAGCTGTAGAAAAAGGATAACTACCAGAATAAACTTTTGCCAGGCGAATCGTGCCGAACATGGTCATGTAATATTGGAATTATAAGGCCGAGGACTTTTCACAGCAATTGAATTTTATTGAATGACAAGAAAATTAGAAAATATTTTCAATGCATACACATTTTCTATCAAGGCTAGCTAGAACACAATGTTAAATAAATTACAAAGTATAAATGAACAAAGTATAAAATTGAACGCCAATCCAACATGTAACACTTCTGGGCGGTTTTAAATATCAACGGGCGGTTCGAAGACTTTAAAATAACCTGAGATTGTAGGCTGAAAGCAAACATGTTTTGCTACTTTAGGCGAACAGCAGTACATGAGTCGAGAGTTGAGGTTTGGGTATCGACACAGGGAGAGAAAGACAGAGAGAGGAGTAAAGGATATGAGAGCCACCAACCAATCCCCTCTTATTAAATGAAAAATCCTTTGAATGCTTTAGCCACCAACATTTGGAGATTTTAATTTCATTTGTTTTGAGTTGATGTTGTTGTTCTTACTCTTGTTGTTGTTGGCCATACATACATCATGACATGCAGATATGCTTGTTGGCTTAAAAGACTTCTGTGATCAGACTTATTAGTCAACAACAAGTCGTCTTGGTCAATGGGGGGAAGTGCACACATGCATGAGTGTGCACATGTTTGAGGTTCCAAGTGTTGCGAGCTGCATACTCCTATGCGAGTGTGTAAGTATTGCATAGTTTGTACCAGCAATTTTATAATAAGTTTAACATTTTTGAGATTTTTTAACTACTTGCTTCGAAATTGGTTTGTAATGAAAGACGAGGTACGTTTAATAAGGCAGTTCATGAAATATGAGTAGGAAAGGTTTATTTCACCTAGGCAAGAGTTAATGTAATTAGATTTTTTTGTTTGCCATTTGTAGGACCGGAATTTATTTGTGTCCTCGAAAGCTAAATGGATTTCCATCAGCTATTGAATCCCTTTATTTCTTGGTATTTCCAATTTCCATTTGTCAGATATTTCTGGAATATCAATCAATAACACAAATTGACATTCTCTCCAGGAATTAAAAATCCCTTCCTTTTGTAGGCTCTGCCACTAATGGTGTTGAGATGTTGTTTCGAGTTTTTTTTTTACTGAGTGCGTGCTATGTGGCAATCATGTGTCTGTTTTTGCTTCTGGGTTTATTTTTGTCTGGTTAATGTTCTTCCCTTGCTGCTTTTAGGGCTGGCTACTGCAACACATCGTTTTGTACTCGGCAATGTCTTTAAAAATATTCGATCGCCCGCAATATAGCAAGATTTGTTCATGCCCCTTGGCAATTGTTCGCAAATATTGTCTGGATGCTGTTGGTCATGTCCACACACAACGGCAAAATACAGTAGCCAACAAGAAGGAGGAACACTTTTTACACTCATTGCATGGGGATATATATAACTTCGTGTCTGTATGTTGTTGTATCCATGTCGATTTCATCCTCCACCGAAAACAAACACTTCAATGAAGTTATGGTTAATGTTGTTTGTGGCACACGTTGCACGTGATTTCTGCGTTAAGTACTGTCGCTTATTGGTTGGATGGTTGGTCGGCTGCCCGAAACTTGATGATGCCACAAGGTAACAAACAACGCTCGTCTAATTTATCTTATTTCTCGTTGTGCCGAAGAGAGCTCAGATGTGATAGACAATGGCAACGCACTTGGCTTTTTCGTTAATGTCTCTGTCACATTAGCGTAATTAAATGAGAGAGAGAAAGAGAAAAAAGAGAGTGGCATTTTTAAATTGTGTTACGTTCGATGACGCATGTTTCTATGATGATGTTGTTGATGTTGGGTATGTCTTGTGGAAATTACATTATCATTCTTATACGCTTGCCTAGATGCTTTGTGAGTTATTTTTTTAATTAGTTGAAGAAAATGAAAGCACATTCCTCATTCGACATTTTATTGTTAATTTATTTTCAAAGAACACCTGTCATCGAGAAGTTAAGAGTTATGAGGCAAAATAAAATAGTGTTTGTTCGGTTCTAGGAATTTTCAAACATATATGTGAGGTTCAACATAAAGGAGAAAATTTTTAATAATAATGATTCAATAAATAATCGTATAAAATACAAGATAGACCATAGCCACCAATCAATTCTTATATTTTTTATTTTATATGTCTTTTTTTTTGTTAATTTTGTGTGTGAGTATTATTTAAAAGTTTATGAAAATTGTTTACAAAATATTCATTTATTTATCGCATAAGGAAAATAATTCTCATTCACTTGTTAATTTCGGGGGCAGGGAGCTTGCCAAAGTGAGCCTAGTGATTTTCTGAATAATTTTTTGTCCTCCGGCTAAAAAAATCATTAGCGGGGATTACCTTTTTGAAGTGGCTTTTATTCAGTTAAGTGCCCAATAATTCACCTCGCTGTTCCGCAGAAGTTTCGGTTCGTTTTACTGTATCGTTGGTCAAACATAGTTAGTTAGAGGAAAACATAGTGCTAGCTAGAATAGTTTCCTAGCCATTGTGGACGACCCAAACTGCTAAATCCAAACATATCTACAGTGAGCTGTCGAACCCGTTGGAGTTCCGATCCATCTGTGGAGGCCTAGACATCGACGTGCTCCGATCCGTCTCCAAAGACTTGGACATCTTCTCTCGAGTATCTCTACAGCGAACTGCTGTCCTCGAACGATTATATCACGAGTTTCAAACCCGTCTCCGAAGACCAGGACATCAACATCCTAACCATATAAATCCTAAACTGTGATTCATCAGAACGAAGACCATTCATTTAAGTTCCCGATTACCTTCAACATCTCAAACGCCGACGTCACTCAGAAACATCGACATCGTTATACCTGATAACATTCAAGACGTCGACCTAGAAATAAGATCTCACAATGCAACATCAGGACCAATGTTGGGCATTTTTAAAGGATGTGTTGCACCTATTTATATTTAACAAGTAAAAAAAAAACAGCTAAGTTAGGCCGGGTACCATTTCGAAAGAACTGAATAAACTTCAAAAATTAAAAACCGTTATATGGGGGCTATACGAAGGCGGGGACCTGCAAAAGTAATTTTTTGTCATAGGCTCTAGTACCGATTTCCAACTTCAAGTACGAAATAATTTCGTTGAATAATGTCGCTATAATCATCAAAATGCCCAATACTGGGAGGTACCGTTATATGGGGGCTAAACGAAAACGTGGACCGACATGGTCCAATAACGAACTTAACCTGCTGGCAAAATACACACGTGTGAAAAATTTTGGCCTTCTATCTCAAGTCGTTCGAAAGTTAGCGTGACAGACAGATAGAAGAACATCGCTAAATCGACTTAGAATACATGTCCTAGCAAAAAGTAATGGGTTAGTAGGTTGTTTAAAAGTAGTTACGAATGTCAAACTATTTTTGGATAATGGAAGTTTTTTTCTGGTTTGGTTTTGTTAAATTATTACATTGTTGTTGTTTTTGTAAAAACCTTTTTTTAGTGGAGAAAAATTGCAGTTTCGGAAAGAGCCATCAAGGGATCTGACGAGGTTTGATGGTTTTTTTTTTCGAAACAATGTCTCCTCAAAAAAAAAAAAAAAAAAAAAAAAAAAAAATACTGGTAAGGTGTAAGAAATTACTAGGAATTACATGCTACTTCGAGAATATTTGTAGACCACGTTAAATATTTTTTCTCAGCCGAGTTTTTAACCTGCATTTTGTCGGAATATATCGAATATAGTAGTGAGTGATTTTATGTGTTATTGGAACAAAATTACTAAAGTCATTGTCCAACTGCCAAAGATAACATCCCATTAAATTTGAAGAAATCCCCACTTTATGTTTGTATATTGAACAAACTAAGACTTGCAAATGCAGCTGAGTGTTTCGGAATAATTAAGACAAATCATCCAGGTGTTCCAAAGATAATGTGTATGTATATCAAATGCTTAAGCAAACATCATTCATTGGCTATCGTTTGTCGATATGAAGACAGACTTTAGCAGCAATGTGGCAGCATGGATAACAAAAATGACAGACGAGATACCGAGGGTATATGTGACTTAAAAACATGAAAATAACTGCTGGATTAATATCACATATATGTAATCAGATATATTTCAGAATACCATAATTTTAAACAATCAGATCTATTTTTTCTTTGAAGTCTTCCTAGCATTTCAAACGTAAACCACTCAATTTCATCATTATTTTTATAAAATTGTTATGCATTCTTTTCAAAAACGCTTTTCTTTCAATTCCCTCCAATTTTGGCAACAATCTGATAGCGAAACAAATAACAACCCATGTTTAGATAACTACCAAAGAGAATAATTAAATTTAATAAGATCATGTTCCTTCCTCTTTATGTTACGGCCATTTGCGGCTACTTTATTTAATTTTATGAGGCATTTTATTAGCAGCAAAAAAAAGAGTTATTGGTTTTTGCTAATTTTTTAAGACAAGCATTTAACATTTCTGCCTTTGCCGACAATAACAACAACTACCCACCCATGGTGAGCAATATTCTGCGCACTTGTCTGGCGTTTCCCCCCATCAAAACAAAGCGAACATTAAAACCCATTAGTACCTCGTTAAATTATGACGTTATGTTCTCTGTTTTAAGCATAACAACGATTTGGAAAATACAAAAGACAAGAGGAATTGCACATTTGACTCACCTGCCAGCCTGTCCTTGACCGCTTGATGTGCCAGCGCCGCATGATGTAGTGGCGGCAGGGCCCATGTCAATGGTGTCCTCTGTGGTGGTACTCTCAAGACATGACCGGCAGCTGCTGCCGCCGCCGCCGATGAATGATAGAGATGGGGATATGTGTAAAGTGCAGTAGCTCCGCCATAGGTACTGGAAGCTAGGCTTGTGGCTAATTTATAGGCAGCTAAATCTTGTTCATTTTGTAGATCCTGTTCACTACTGCTCGATTTATTACTATCATTGTTATTGTTGTTGTTATGGTTGCTATTGTTATTATTATTGTTGTGATTATTGCTATTGTTGTTGTGTTCGAAGGGTTTCGAGAGCAGGCGCGATATGCTGAAGGGCAGATTTTCACTGGACGAGGATCGGGTTTGTTCTGATTGTGATTCACTGGAAAGAGATGGAAATTAAATTAAATTTGATTAGAAAATAAGGTAAATGGATTGTTTAAAATGGTCCTTGGAAGAAATTGTTCAAATTAAATTCAAATTTAAATTAAAATTCGAAAAATATATTTTTAAGGATTACGATTTACGATTAAACAGACCTCCAGGAATACCAACTGAAACCTGATACTTTCAATTAATATTTGAATCATCACTTGATAAATCGCATGATTTGTGTTTAATTTTTTGCAATCGAAAACATTGTTGCGTGGTTGAATTAATGCCTTGTTCCTTCTGACATATCAAATCATAACTTTTCCCTTTTTATTCAAAACTGTTAACAAAAATTATTATTGTTATTATTTGTGATGTTAAACACGGCATCACGTTGCTAAACAACATTAAAAAAACTCAGCAATGTGATGTAAACTAATTTTGATTTAATTAATGTCCGTTGACATTGTTTGTGTATGCTGGCTTATATCATTTTCAAAAATCTCAAATTAAAACCATACGACGACAAATAATTAAAATTTAAAAATACAAACCATTATTTGCCATAAACAATTCAAACGATAATAAAATTGAAAAGATATGATTATGATCTGAAAATGTCACTAGAAATGGCTTTAATGGCAAATTGATGTCCATTTCGAATGGGTTATACAAAATTCCAAATTGCTCAATAAATTCAAAATTACATATTCCCAAAAATATTGGAAATTAAAAATCATTTTAGATCCGTTCAAATTTGAAATCATTAGCAGAGAGTATTTCTTTTATAGACCAAAGAACATGAATGAAACCGTCAAGTAATAAAATCACCAAATTATTTGTTGACCTGAACGATTAACATGACTAGAAGTGAATGTCCAACACACCTGAGCTGTTGTGGCGGCCAACTGTGGCCATAGTTTTAAACGTTGAGATAGATAAAAATCTCTTAACACGAGGAAAAAAGGTGTCAATAATTATATGAAAAAATTATTGGTCATTGAAGATTTTAACAAGATGTTAAAGGGAGGTTAAGCGTCGCCTTATCGATGTGAATGAATATCAATGTGGAAGATGTCGATCAAATTCATTACAATTTTAAATTTATATCTACCATGGGTGTGGTGCATGTGTACAGATAGACCTCGAATAATAAGTATGTGTTGAAAACATCAAAAAATAGAAATTATGATCTTGATTTTTTATTATTTGTCATTATATTTTATTGTTGTTTGACTATAAAGGGTGAGATGAAAAAATCTGCAATAACTTCAGACTGATGCCATTTCTAAGCCACTCGTCCGACAGCTGTTAAAATTATTCGAGTTACAGCTCATTATATTGTTTACAAGCGTACAAAAGCATTTTGGTGAGAATTTTCCAGAAAAAAGTTATTCGTGATTCAAGCGTGATGGTGTGATGTCTTTATATTTGGCTGGAAAACCACAAGTGGCTATCGTTAGAGCACTCTAGCATTTAAATGTGAATAAATCTTTTGTGTCTCGTACCATCGTGTCTCGTTACCGTGATACTGGTAGCCCGACGTCAAGGAAGTGGACGGAAGAAAATAGCAGCATCAGCAGAAATGGTTCGAAAAGTAGAGAAGCGACTTGATCGAAAACCGCGTCGCAGTGGTAGAAAAATGGCTCGTGAGCTGAACATATTGCGGTATTCCATTCGGCAAATATTCAAAAATGAGCTCGGGGTAACGCCATTGAAATTCCAAAAAGTGCAAGAACTTACACCTCAACAGAAAGAAAATAGACTCAAAAGAGCTACAGAGAGTTGCTTCGCTTGGCCGAAAGTTGTAAACTTCCGAATTTGATTTTCCCTCACTCCGATGAGAAAACATTCGTTGTCCAGCGGTTTGTAAGCAAACAAAATAATCGTGTTTACTTGCTAAAGATGTCAGCTGAAAATGTGCACCTTCGGTTGGCCACCAGAACTCAAGCGCTGGGCAGGGTGATGGTGTGGGCCGCCATAACAATCACTCTCCGCTCGTATTAATCGACCGTGACATCAGAATAAATACCGAACATTATCTCGAAAATATTCTGGCCGCTGACCTAGGACATTCTAACAGGACTCAGCACCATCGCAATCAGCTTATTCTAAAATTTGATGCTATTTCCGACATTTTTTGCTTTCATTCAATATTTTTTTTTAAAAAGGTAAAAATTATGGCGTTTGACTTTGTTGCAAATTTATATCACACTCCGTAGTTAACACTTTTTGAGAAAGAAAATAAACGATTGTTTTAGTATGGATTTGGTAATATCATATTTGGAATAATGTTTTCCTTTCGTATTAAAATACAGATACAAATTTATTGGTAATATTTCAATGTTGTTTAATATTTATAATTTAAACTTCGAGTTTTTAATTTATGTTATTCAATGGACTTATGAAAATCTAGTCCAAATTCACGTTTGGTCGAGGGAACTTATTTTAATTAATTCCTATCATAATGTATTCATAGAGGCTTATCTGTGTATCTATTGACATGCTGATAGGTGAAACAGCAACAACAACAAACATCAAATTTGTCTAAGATTTTATTACTGTTTTGAGAGTTTCCGATTTATCTCTTGTTTCCTCTCATTTCATGTTGCACTAAACCAAAAAAAAAAAACAGAATTAATTAAAATTCATTTAAAGTTCATCAATGAAAACCAAACAACGTTTTGTCAAATTTGGAGCATTTCATAGAATATTGCGTTGTAGTATTAGTCATTTAACATTCGTCTAACATTCACCTAAATATGTTTAATTGAATTCATTTGTATGTTGTTGTTGCTGTTGTTGCCGTGTTTGATTACCCAAAAACAACAAGGCATTCAAAAGAGATTTAATCCATCAATGGTCACGCAAATGTCTCAATTGAATGTGAAACATAAATCTTTTTCGCTTTGCCCCCACTCTGCCAGTGTCCAGCTACTAGTGTTGAAAATCGTGCCGAGTGTTGTGGCTGCCTTTTAAGGTTTCAATGTTGCAATAAATGATTTTTTTTTTGCATTTTTGCAAAACATCTATCTCTCTGTGTATTTACCGTGAGCGGAAGGAGTGGGGAGGGGGATATTCAAATACACATTGTGGCCAACATCTGAAATGGCCAGAGTTGTGCTGTTGTTACTGTCTTGTTGTTCGTTGTATTTTTTTATAGTTTTATTCTTGTTGTTCATTTGTAACTCTTATCAATATTGTCGTGAGTTGCGTGGGTTTATGTCATCTGCGAATATGCTTTATTTGTTGATAATGTGATGCGAGTGACTAAAGAAACTCTTGGAATTGTGTATTAGAATGATTCGAAATGAAAATATTCTCTAATAGCATTTTAAGGCATAAAAAGTAAGAAAGGATAGGAACCACAAATTACGAAAGATTAATCAAAAAATTCAAAAAAGGTCAAATCCTTGCACTTTCTACATTTTGTTTATTTTGTCATATTAAAAATATAATCCCGAAAATGATATCTTTTAAATATTGAACTCAATTTTGTGTTCTTTTTCTTTTAAATCTGAGCTAAAGGTGTTTGAAAAATGCCACAAAAAAGTAAGCCATTTCGATAGAATATACCAAAAATTTACCCGATTTCGATTTGCTACGACCCATTGCGGAATTTTATGGCAAAAATTTCCTATAATGAGATTTTACACATGTCTGGTAAAAACGATAAAAAAAAAGACCCACTATTGCGAAAAAATTGCGTTTGTAGCTTAAATTTTATCTAAGACACATGTCTAAAGTACAATAATTGAAAAAAAATATATGCAAGAAGTTTATAAATTTTCCTTTTATAAGGGAATATTGCAGACCATACTTAGTCTAGCTCTCGACACAAAACTTCTAAATGTTGATTACGTTCTGAGTCGATTTATTCAAGTCCGTCCGTCCTGTTCATGTATTTTTGTAAACAAAGTATAGGTCGCATTTATTACCCGATCAAGATGAAACTTTGCACAAAATATTTGTTTGGTTCAAGGACGAACCCTATTGAAATTGGAGATAATCGGTCAAAATTTAGATATAGCTCTCATATTTCTTCGTCTGATTTGCCTTTTATTGCCCGTGAAATATTATTCCAAATAGCATGGAATTTACTATATACCACCAAATTGAGCTTGGAAATGAGTATGCCAAATTTGATCAAATAGCTCCCATATATATTGTTCATCCGATTTGTTATTTGAGTCCTTCGCAGGCGTAATATGCGCTTCGTAACAACGATATTCGGGGAAAGATTTCAAATACAGCTCAGAAATACCTTTGCAATTTTTAACGGGATCGGTTCAGATTTGGATATATAGCTCCCATATATATCTTTATCCGATTTCAAGTTAATTGTGCCTAAAGAGGATGGATTTTGATGAATATTGGTTTAGGCACAAATGCCTTTGCAAACTTAGAAGAAATCGATTCAAAGGAGGATATTCATCCTTTGAACTTAAAAGTATAACTATAATCAAAATCAAATTATACGATTTATTGATGGATATCCATATGTAACCCTATCTCCTAAATCCTCGAACGAGTTTGCCTCTCTACTCGAATTTGAGCGAGCGCATTTCTGAGGCTAAAAAAAATAGAGCATGCTCTCCTCAGCAGTGTAAAATTCGCACGAAAGCGAGAAGATTCTTCTCTTCATACTCCCCGGGCACCAGAGAGAACTGGCAAATCTGAACTCTATTTTCTACAAGAAATACTTTTGTCAAATAATGATACAATGGTGAATTTTTCGGATATAATTACCATAGTTTAGCGGTATTTATATCAAATGATAACTAAAAAGCAAGTGAAAAAATTTACTTCATCCATTTTTCTGAAAAAATATTTCCATTTGCTTTCGAGGTATGTATTGAGTGACAATTCGACTAACAGACGAATAAATAGATTCAAAAACACAAACAAAATTCACACATTCAAAATTCAAATTAGAAATGAGAAACATGTCATTTGATTAAATGTTGACATCAATATTTGGATATTAGAAGTTTAAAGAGAATAGGGGGCTCGTTTCGCAATTATTGTAATACAAAAATGTTGGATCGCATATTGTCCGTTGTGGCATCTGATCTACATTTTATATGGCTAACTGTATTGCATTTATATGTAATTTAAAAAATGTAGAACGATTGTATGCGACTACCATACTTCATTTTGACTAAAATATCCGTAGTAACATTTTATAGGCTTTACATATATTCAATTTTTTTAACCCCTTCAAGAGTTATAGTGGGCACTTAACAGACCAAGAAAGCTAGATCGAATCCTAGTATGGGGATTTAAAACTTTTTTGGATAACATGTTCGGGAATATAGAAAATAAATGTAGAAATAAATGTAATTTGAATCCCTTTTTTCAGTCATAGGCCTTACTTAATAAAAATATTATTAATAAATTGTAAAATTTAAAATCAAAATGGAAAAAAAAAATGGAATTGCATACTATTACTCTTGAGAATATTTATTTAATCCTCCTTGGACCATCATTCTAAATTTCAAAATTCAATCACCCCAATTGACACCCAACTTGCAACTGCATTTGTTTGTTTTCAAACTCAAACACGGCACATGTATCCATACATCTGTACACATATCGTTTCATTCATAATGCATAAAGCAGATACATATTTAGATTAGTATCTGGTGTTCTTTTTTTCTCTTCTCTCCCTTCTCCCATACAACTTTACATAAATGTATTAAATTTAATTAATAATTTGTTTTTCTTAACATGTTCATGTCGGAGACACGCTTGTTCAGGTTGCATGAAGTGTAGTAGAACTCATGAGGAGCTACACAACAGAGTTGAACGAAATGGACGAATTGGAAGAACATTCATATATCGTCTGACAGACAGACCAACAGACAGATATTCATTCAATTCAATCGTAATGAAATTGTATGGGATTTGTTGTCGTCGCTGGTGTTATCAGTGACAGTTCTTGTAGAACTCATTAATTTTTTAAATGAAAACATAACGACAACAACAACAACAAAAGCAGTAACAACATTAGTATTTTGCTTCAAGTGAATTTATTCCATTTGCTTTGGTTTGTGTGTGTGTGTTATTGTGTTCGTTTCAGATATCGCCCGATGTTGTAGTCACTATTGGCTGCTGTTCTCCGATACCAAGTTTTTTTTTTTTTGCTTTACGAGAGAGAGCGAATCAATCGCCGGCTGACACGCAACTTTAAGGAATATTCAAACTTCGCTGACTGGAAATCAATGTTTGTTCAAAAAATATTTGTCCATTTGAGTGTTTATTTGGTTTGTTTTGATTTCGGCGATATTGGTCACGTTTAACTTTAAAAGCTTTTTTGATTTATTGTTTTATGAATAATAAAACAGTCAATAACGGAGTTGGCTTTTAACGCACGACACACACGAATGCGGGTATCTACTAAGTGTGGATCGTGTAAAGTTGTTGCTATTTTACTTTGCTGTCAATTTATTACAAATGTCTTGAATTTGATTAGGCCGCAAAAAGAAATTTAGTTCAAGATCACAATATCACGAAGAATGGTAGCAATGGAGAAGTTTGGAAACATAATAGGTATAGGATAGAATGCGGATTTTTGGGATTTAAATTGAATTCAATTATTTAAAAAAAAATTAAATCAGTATCTTCATATCGCAAACAAAGGTAAATAATTATATTAACATAAAAAACTTATAAATATGTAACAGATGCCGACAAAATGTTGATATAAAACAAATCAAAAGAATGCAAATTTGAAAAAAAAAAACTCTAAATAATTTTATTTATTACAATAGGCACTCATCTTATGCATAAATGCAAACATACGAATGTCGTAGGGAACACCTAAGCTCCACCCCGACAATAATTTTATGCAATGTGCAACACCAATAAAAAATACGCCAAATAACCAGGTTTGTAGAAAATGCCAATTAGACTCGTTTTTAGATCAAAACCCCAAAGGAGTTTTAGGTTCTTTGGGCAAATATTGTTAAAGTCCTTATATACTTTTGACCGATTGTTTAAGATACGTTCGCAATGTTTTAGATAGAGCTTTGAAATTTGGATCGAGATCTTTGAAGTTTGGTTGTTAATTTGGCTTGTAAGGATAATTTAGATTTCAATTTTTTACGTTTTAGCAATGTTTTCCATTTAATTTCGCCAAAATCTTGTATTCTGATGTTTTTATAATATGGAAACGCTATTTACAAAAAATTATCAATATAGGACTTCCTTTTGGTACAGCCATTATTTTAGTAACTGCAAGGTACATATTAATTATACTAATTTTTTCTCTTTATTTTGTTCAGAGATTTGCAATGAAATTTGATGTAGATTAATTCTAACTTTGACATTTTCCCCAAAAAATGAAAATTAAAGACAAATTTTGACTCGGATTGGGTACGTGTTGACCTTAAAAAAAGCAAAAACTAAATTTTCACTATTAGTACATAAATTTTGAATTTATTTTTCATAAAAACTATTGCTCCTAGATATATTGTTTACACTGAGATTTATTGTACAATTTTATGTAGAATGTTTCTTCTTTTGATAACTTCCGCCTTAAACGAAATTTTATGTCATTTTCAGGAATGTGACAGTGTTAAAATTTTTAGTTTTAAATATTCCTCTTTTTTTACAATATTGCAGAAGGACCTGTATATCTAAATGGCACAGATTCCGAAGTATCTTAATCCGAAAATTCTTAAAAGTGTTGAAGGGAGGGAAACTTTCAAAACGCCATTACACATGTCTACCATTTTTACCCCTAATTTATGCTTATAGGGATAGAGTAAAATCTGTTCAGATATTTTTATAGCGTCCAAATATAGATATCATAACATGTGATATTTGAGCCTTCCCAAAACCGTAATATACTCCCAATAATAATGATTTTCAATTTAAGATATCACATATGGTTAAGAACTAAATGAGCTAAACATTGTGAAATTCTCTTTTGGTTCAGATTAAGATATAACTCCCATATAAATTTCCCCTTCAACTTTCTATTCAAAATTCCAATGTTCGAAATACAAATGTGCTACACCACTTTTCAATTATCGGCCTGACATGGCAGATTTTTTCTAAGGAATAGAATGGACCACTTCTTCTGGTACCTCTCCAACAATTTGTTAAAATTTTGAATAACCATGAAGCTCATAAAATGCGAAATGATTATGTGATTCCTTACGAACTCGGAACATCCCAAAATTTCTATCAACACAAGATCTCATGGGAAAATGGAATGTATCGGCCACTCCTTCTGCGATGGATCTTAAAGGGGTCAAAATTTTGAATAACAAAATGCTCTTAAATTGCGAAATTTTCCAAAATCCCAATATTTTTTCCAATACAATATCTGGTGTGAATTTGGTATATTTTGGTGTGATATTTCGGTCCACTCCTTCTTTCCATCCAAAAATCATGATATGATTTACTTTACACTTATACGGAAAGCCCTGTTATAAATGCCTAATATTGTGGCTTATCATATAGTCGGTATTGCCCCACGTTTACCACATTCTGGTTGTAATGAAATAGCTGAAGTGAGAATTAAAGTTTAGTAAAATGAATACGAATTAGTCCAAATCGCCCGTCGGCAATAAAAAAGGGGCCAAAATAAGAACATTTGCATATGAAATGACTCCGTCGCACAGTGATAAAGATCTTTTGTTACATAGGTGACATCTTAAACATTAATATTTTTTTTAAAATTTAGGAACGTCAGTGATACAGTTCCTGAGAAATGTAACCCTTTTCTGAGCAGACATTTCTTTTCGATTTTTCATTTAACGTTTCACGCCCACAATTTTTGGCCTGCTGATACCTTCAATGAAAATACGGGCAGTTGTATTTCAGTGAACCGTCGCATAGATTAGGTTGGAATTCTAAGCTTGATTTAAGCCAATAAACTCATGGCTGAAAGTTAGGCCATTTGGTACCATCGCAGCGATTAGATCATGATCAATTTGATTTAATTTTTTTAATTATGAACTTATGGATCCAATGCTAAAAAATTTTTAAAATTTGATTTAGGCTTTTGAATCTTCAAAAATATTTGAGCCTTTTTCTACATATTTCTTCCAAGGTGCCCTCATTTTCATCAGTTTTTTTATAATTAATTCCTATAAATTGAATCGTCTTAGTAAAAATCGTAATCATTGGTATATCCCCAAAATAATGTTGTTTTGTGTTTGAAAAAAATTCGCGGTTAGAGCTCAAACAGACAGAATCTCTATAGGTGTCCTGCTGTTTCGTTTTTTAATGTTGATTTTTTCTTAAGCCATAACAATTCCAGATAAGTATTCCAATAATATCATTTCGTTTCGGGTCTACCCATTTTCTTTAAAACCTACCTTAGAGGAGCTTCAGACTCATCATAACAACTGGCACCATCCATGTCAACATCTGAGCCAGTACCGCAGGATAAACGGGAATCGGAATCAACATCCACATGAATCTCTTGTTCGTCGATGTCATCGCGATCATCTTCTTCGTGTGAAGACATGTTGGAACAATAGGAGGGAGCCAATTTGATGATGTAAATTTACGCACACACACAAAAATTCAAAACGCAAAGTTTTGAATGAATAATGTTTTCAAATTTTTATGCACTAGTTCACAGTTTAAATTTGGCTTACTTTCTTTTAAATAAAATAATATTTTTCTTTTGAAATTATTACAATTTTTAATTAATTAATACAATTTTTTCTGCTTGTCTTTTTTTTAAATTTATTGAAATGTATTTTTTGCTATTAATGCATTTATCCGCTCACGTTGATTTGTTTTGATTATTAATCCGTAACAATGTTTATTTTTGTCAATTTCTTTTTAATTCATCTCTTTTGTTTTGTTTTTTTGGTTTGAATGAAAAGCGCTTTAACGAACTCGACAAATTGAGGTGTTAACGCTAACTGAATTGTAAACTTCCCCGTTGCAAAACATCAACCAGAGCACAAAAATGAACACACACACTGACAGACGCTCAAACGCACACCGCACACGAAGAGCCACTTGAATGTCGCTCCGGTCTTGTTAGCCAGCTAAAGCTAATGAACAACAATGAATGGTCTGTTTAAAATCGGTTGTTTGGTTTGCTGTTGTTGTTTGTTGCAAAGGAGTATACTGGGCCCAACCACACCACCACCACCAACTCGAATATTGCCATGCACCATCATTAAACAAACAAACATACACACGCACACACATCACACATAACAACAACAGCAACACAACGGAGTTATTCACCGGCAGCTAATGGCTTGTTAGACCTGTTTAACTGCTTCCTTCCTCTTCAAATAAAATAAGTAAACATGCATTGATGGGCGAGTTGTTGTTGTTGTTAATACAACAAAGAGAAACCTAACCTACGCTAATAATAATGGCACTTGCTATGCCCAATTAAGCCCATAACTCCGCCCTCATACACAAAAGAGCGAGAGAATATTGTTATTGTCTCTCTCTTTTTCGCTCACCACTAGAATCACAGTGTTTAGTATTTCTTATGATTAACACATGAACTTGGCATCACTTTTCTCCAACTTCATTGTGGGCGTTCCTTCAATGCAATTGGTTCTGCGCTTGCGCTTATTTTTCATAGAACCAGGGGAAGTTTTAACTGGAAATCCATGACTAACATCAACTGCATGGGCTTTTAACATTGCCAGCATATTTTCGTTCTCATCTTTGTGCTTTGTGACGACATTTTAATTGGAAAACGTTTTGCTTTTGGGGTTTCATTCTTTTACACACTCACACACCAATAACTAGATTCGTATTTTTTTCTTATCTTTGGGCAAGAGTGGGCGTTAAAGTGTTTTTGCTCACAGATTTCCTAAGCAATTTTCTGTTTTATTTTGGTTTTTTTATCAAATATTTTATTTCCCCCTCTTTCCGTTGAGAAGAATTTAACGCTTTATATGTGAATGGTGTAAACATTACAGATTAATAGTTTCATGAATGTCTGTCGTAATACGAGGGACGTTATTATGTTTAGGTCAATTCTTTGTAGATAATTGAATAATGTCCTCAGAAAATAGCCAAAATTACCTATGTAGTGAGTCTGAGGCTTGTTGACATAAACCTGCGACCTTCAAAAGCCCCACAAAAAGTAGCGGTCAGATCAGGCGAACTTGCTGGTCAGTGCAAATCGCCAAAATGGGAGATTAGGCGCTCGGGAAATGCATCCTTCAGCATATCGATTGTGGCAAGTGCAGTGTGTGCCGTTGCACCGTCCTGTTGGAACCACATGTTTTCCAATCCCAACTCATCAAGTTGCGGCAAAAAGAAGTCTTGATCATTGCTTTGTAGCGTTCACCATTCACAGTAACCGTTTGGCACGCGATGCCTTTGAAGAAAACAGGTCCTATGACTTCTCCAGCGGAAACAACCCACCGTACAGTTACTTTAAGCGGGTGTTATTGCTCTTCTTGGGTTACAGGCCGATTTTCAGTGCCTCATCAGCGTTAATTTTGCTTATTTACGTACCCGCTAAGATGGAAATGGACCTCAAGATTCTGGACTTCATTATTTGTACGAAAAAATATTTTCAAATCGTGTACCAAAATTCGCTGTAAATACCTATTTGCGTGGCACGTCATCTGGTCGATGTCGATGGCGCTTCCATGACGTTCTCGGCTACAGCAGCAATATTATCTGCAGAACGGGTATTCCGGGGTCTGCCATGCCTGGCAGCTCTTTTGTGGGACGGCAAGGAAATCTGCAGCGAAATTCACGTTGTGCCACCGTGTCACCGACCGATTATTGGTCAAATAAACAATCACTAATACACGGCGTTCTGGAGCATTGTAGCGAAACATCGTTTATTAACATGTATTTCGCATGTGTTTACTAGAAAAGTGTCAAAATAGAACTGACATAAGGAGTCAATCCTAAAATTTATAGCATTTTCTAATAGGAGGATTACTTTTGCGCCAGTTTTAAATATTTCCCTCGAATATCGGCCTAATTTCATAAAAATACCAAAAAATTCCAGTTAATTTCATTAAAAACCAGTTAGCAAAGATCAAAATTCTGCAGGGGCTGGCTAGGTTATACCCTACACCACTTGTAGATTTCCCGTAACAAAAAAGTTTATATTAAGAATTTATGTTCATACCAAATATGAACCTTATTTGAATTCGTATCATGACTTTAGAGTAGTCACGATTTGGGATCTATATCCAACTCCAACTCTGAATCGATTTTCAACAAATTTGCCGCAGTCTTCTGTACCTCTTGTACCAAATGACACTGCTGTATGGTGTATGATATTACCTCGATAAGGATTATATTAAAAAATATTTATGGGATCAATAGATATACCGCACCGAGTTTCAACAAATGGAAAAATTGATATTACATATATGGTGAACAATAAGCGCAAAATCGAATGAAGATGTATATTTAAGTTATATAAAAATCAGAAAAGATCTCGATAAAATTTGGTAGAGGTATTTTCTAGCTGTATCTGATGTCCGATATCAGATACCGGAGTTGTGGAGTGCATGTGAGGGACTTAAACACCAAATCGAACGTAACATATATATGGGTGCGATTTTCCCCAAAATTTGAAGTGCTTGCTTCTAGGCTGGTTTCAGTAGGATGTGCTGAAATACATCCTATTTGGCCGAAAATTACACATTTGGGGCATAATAAAATTGAAATAATTTAGACCGATTATCACCGATTTCGATAGGGTTCGTCCTTGGGCCACACAACTGATTTGTGGAAAGTTTAATTTCGATCAGACAATAAATGCGACCTGTATTTTGCTTACAAAAATACATGGACAGACGGACATACATACATACATATGAAAGAGTTGTGAAATAACTGACCGAGAATCAATGCTTAGAGAAAACGGCTGAAACTAGAATCTTGAAATTTTGTATGAGGGTCAGTCTCGTAGGCTGGATTTTTGAAAATTCGTACTAAAAGCGCACGAAAAGTACTAGTAATATACTACAAATTGAATACTTTGTATTGGACGAAAGGAATGAGCTAGAAAAAAATCAAGGTTGAAAAGTAGGTTTGATATATGAAGGTGGTTTTGGAAATGCGTACTAAGCGTGCGAACTGCAGTAAATGATACTTAATTTGGAACAGTTTGATTAAGGGTGAACGAATGAAGCTGGAATTTCGAAATTTTGTATTTGGGTCCGTGTTGGTTGTGGGTTTGAAATTAAAAGTTAGTTTCGGAAATACACACTACAAGTACACGAAAAGTAGTAAATAGTACTATATTCGGTGCAATTTAGTATAGGTTAAACAGAAAGTACTTGAAATTTGATATTAGGGTCGCTTTTTAGCCTGGACAAATGGAGGTGGTTTTGGAAATATTTTATTTAAAATTTTACTAAAAGTACTGAATGGTATTATATCTAGTATTGGGTGAAGGGATAGAGACATAGTTTTGAAATTTGATATTTACTATTATTGTTCGAAACGTACTAAATGGTGCTAATTTTGGATCACTGTAGGTGTCTAGGATGGAGAGATGTGTTTTGCATATGCGTACTAAATGTTAATAAATATGGTATTTGGTGAAGAAATAGAGCTAAAATTCTGAAATTTAATATTGAGGTTACCGTCGCTTTTGTAGGGTTTATATACGAAGACGTTGAAATAGTTTTGAATAGAACAATGGGTTGTGGATCAATTGTGCAATGGTTTTATTGTTTATTAAATTTTTAAGACTTTTTGGTATAAATGGTAAACATTTTCCTATTATCCTTCCCCAATAACGAAGATGTTTAAATAATATGTAAAACCTTAAAAGTCTAAAAATTGTGTTGATAAGAGCACATTTGTGCAAAGCAGATAATGGCAGATAATGGCAGATATAATTTTAAATGACTTATCTAAAAAAAATAATTGAAAAATATGTCTTAAATAAAAAGTTACAAGGATTTCACACCACTTCGATCTTTCTGGGCCACCCTGTATAATTTTGAGTGCCAACAAACATATTGAAAATGTGTGATCCCAGAAAGCCAATAAAGTCTAAAGAGTTCCAGATGTGAATCAGTACCTGTTTCATTTCTATTAGGAATCACTGTAATTTTCATTTCAATTTATTCTTAAGGTAAGAAAATGTGATCACAAGACAGGTCGAATGATATTTTCAAAATGGCGACGATTAATATTGTCTTCAATTAATTTTGGTGACATTTTGGTGACAAAATTAAGTTAATTTTAGAGAAATGCTTGCATCCCTTCAAAATCGTATCCCTCATTACGTTGAAAGAGGACACACATTTTATAACATTTGGATACTTTCCTCTCATTTTTTGAGCTTAATCATTGCCAACAATGTAATGCTCATAATGTATCTAAACACCGATAAGAACCACCAGGAATGAAAGTTCGAAGTCAATTGGAACCGTCAATTTCAACATTATACCACTCGGGGAAAAATTTTCGCATTCGATATCCAAAAATGTTCAATCAAAGTTAGAAACGACTAAATATACAATGCTATAGTTCGGCTCTTCTTGTTTCTATTGAGGTTTTTCTTTTCGTCAATTTGAAGTTATGCACATACTAGAATTTGACACTTGTTTATGACCAAATTTAAATAATGAAATGGAACCTATTTTGATAAAATGTCTCTGTAAAGCATGTGCTATGCTAAATTCGGCTTCATAGCTAAACGTTATTTCATTCGGAAATATAGTATATAGGCCTTTAGTGCACAATAAACGAGAATTTGGTTGAGGAAAAATATATGGGAGCTATATCTTATTCTGAGCCAATTTGGCAAAATTCTTAGGGCGTATTTTATGTTTTTACCGAAAGTAATTGAGACTGATAGCACATTAAGAATTTAAGATTGGTTAAACGGAAATAGGCTGCAACAAAATTTATACGGAATATTTAAGTAGACCTTTTCATTATTTAGATTTTTTTAGAATTAATTGTGTTTTTTTCAATTTGATCTTGAGGACCAAAATGGCTTTTGAGATTCGGCACTTCTGAAAATTTTCTACCCACCTTCGTTTGGATAGGTATATGAAAAACTTTTTCAGCCGGTTTTTATTTCTCCTCTCTGTACCCTTGGATTGCTCAGATAAAACGCG